CTTTCTTTTTTTTGAAACGGTGAAATTTAGTGTGAACAACTTTTACTATTCAAAAACTACAATATTTTTTTATTTATTTTAACGTTTTCATTGATTATTTGATATAATAAAATATTCTTGTCATCTCTTGTTTTGTAGAATTTTTAACGTTGTTTTTAAATATGTAAGTTTTTAAAATATTCTGGTGCCACTACATTTTTGAAGCACATTTAATACTCCATTCGCAAAATTGATGGTTCATACGTCCTATTCATTCCCTAAAAATTAAAGAAATATCCATGAATATGTAAAAATGTATGAAAATACTAAAATAGAAATTATTAGTCTTTCAAGACCAAAATAGGAGTATAATAGCAGTGTGACGTAAAAGCACGTGTTGGCAGTGCGTTGGAAAAGTGATGACAGTGTAATATATGAGTGTGATCAGTCAATTGTCGGTGATCCACGATGACACTCTGGTGGCCAGCGACGATAAATGACAATGTGGCGGTGATAGTGTGAAATTTACAATGTGATAATGTGGTGAGTGTGGTAGTGTGAACTCTTTTTCATCTTAAAAGACATATGACTCCTATCTAATGAGTTCTCCTCTCCCTAAACCCCTCACGCTAGCCCCACCCTAGCCCCCCTTCAAATGTGTGGCTATTATGCACTGGCTATTATGCAGTGCATAATAGCCACACATTTGGTGGGGGGAGATAGTGTTCTGTTCAACTTATTTTATCTAGTTATTACTTATTCTTATTATAATCAGATTAGATCAGACCAGATCAGATCATTATAAACACAACTTTATTTATAGATGCAATTAGCCTGGATCAGACCAATTCAAATTAGACCAAATCAGATCTTCAAAAAATCAGATTAGATTAGGCGAACGAAATGCACCATTAGGTGAGCCTGTGGTGAGGGGTTTAGGGTGGATTACGAGGATAAGAACCACCGTATAGGGTGTATCGTTATGATGGATAAGGTGAGGATGAGACTCACGAGAATAAAGAGGTAGAGAGAAGGCGTAAGGTTGGTAGTTTTTGATCTCTGTCAAATGACCTCTATATATACACCTAAAGGGAAATCCTAATTAGGTCGTAAGGGTAATTACGTCCATCAAATAATTACCAATTCAATATATAAGATATTTATTAGATCAATGATCAATTAATTAGATAAATGATAACTCACACCAGACAATAAAATCGTGTTCTACATTCTCCCACTTGGCCGAGTAATCATTTATGACATGTATTAGATAAGTCTGCTCATACTTTAGTACTCGATTAGTTCTAAACCAAAACTGTAGTAGAGAAATACAGTCATGGAATCGATACTCAATTCAAGACCCTCATTAATCACACTACAATACCAAATTTAAAACTTAAATAAGCTAGAGATCAATTTGACGATTAAGCCCTTAACATTATTTTGTATTAAATGTTATCTAAGTGTCTTTACATATGCATAGACACATTCAGAGATAAACAAATCAAAATAATGAGGAAATTTTATTATTAAATGTAAGCAAGTACAATATGCAACTAAATAAGGTCTTTAGAGAACCCCATCTTCGAAACATGTTCTTCAAAAATTTTAGGAGGGAGACCTTTAGTCATTGGATCCGCAAGCATATTCTTAGTACTTATATGCTCAATGCAAAGTTTATTTCCCTCAACTCGCTCATGTACGAACAAGTATTTTGTATCAAGATATAAAGCAGCGCCAATCGAACTGTTACTGTTCGAGAAACTAACGACGGCTGAGTTATCACAATAACGCTTCAATGGTCGAGAGATGGAATTAACTAATTTGAGTCTAGTGATGAGATTTCTAAGCAACATCCCATGACAGGTTGCGTTGTACACCACAATGTGTTTTGCCATCATTGTGGAAGTTGCAATCAACTCTTTCTTATGACTTTTCCACGAGATAGGTTCGCCAGCTAACATAAAGATATATACCTTGAAGTGGATTTCTTGTCATCTTTGCGCTTAGAAAAATCAGAATCAGAATAACCAAACAATTCTAAATTATCAGTCTTATGTAAGTCAGCTTATAGATATTGAAGAACTTTCTTAGTTGCTTTATAGTGATCAAGACCAAGATTGGTCAAATAACGAACTAACATTTCAGCAATATAAGCGATATCTAGTCGAGTACAGACTTGTGCATACATTAAGCTTCCAACTACTGATACATAAGGTATCATTCTCATCTGTTCCTTTTCAACCTCTATTTTCGAACATTGAAATAAACCAAAAACATCTCCCTTAACTACTGGAGCCACAGAAGGAGAGTAATGTTGCATGTTATAACGTGTAAGGACACGATCAATGTAGGCCTTTTAAGAGAATACAAAAATACCATTGAATCTATCTCGGCTTATTTCGATGCCAATAATATAAAAAGCCTCTCCGAGATCTTTTATGTCCAAATTACATGAGAGTAAGCACTTGGACTCATGCAACATGTCTAAACTATTACTTACCAATAGAATATCATCTATGTAAAGGACAAGTATACTAAAGTTGCTCCCACTCATTTTGAGCTAGGTGCATTGATCCACTTGGTTTTTTATGAAACCTTCTAACTTCAAGACTTGATGCAACTTTAAGTACCATTAACGTGATGTCTACTTCAACCTGTATATGGATTTCTTCAGCTTACAAACTAGATGTTTTTGACCTTCAGATTCGAAACCTTCCATCATTTCTAGACTATCATATCTTCTTCTTCTTCTCCTCCTCCTCCTCCTCCCCCTCCTCCTTCTTCCTCTTCCCCCTCCTCCTCCTCCCGATCTAGCCCCCACACCTTTCCCCTTTTTATTTTCTTATTTTGCTATTAGTATTAATATAGAAAACTAATTTGTAATTTTACATCCTAAAAATAAGTTTTACATTTTTAGAAAAATAGCACTAATAAAAAGTGATAAATATGCAATTATTAATATCATTATTATTTTTATTATAAATAGAGTATCAACTACAAATTATTTTTAATAAAAATAATGATATTATTTATTACTATTATAAATAAGTAGTAGTAGTAGTACTCATTTTTTTGAATAAAACACTAATTATTACTATTATTTATTACTTGGTATTTATCATTATTTAGACTAATAAAATTACTTCTTTTTTTGGTGTAAAATTACTAATTAATTTTAATAATAATAATAACAATAATAGAAAATTAAGAAGAAGAAAAATAAGGGGGGTGGTGGGGGGTGGGGTTGGATTGGAGGATGAAAAAGAAAAGAAAAGAAGAAGAAGAAGATGATGATGAAGGGCAAAGATGAAGAGGGGAAAGATGAGGGGATGATGATGATGATGATGATGGTGTGGTGGTGGTGTAGAAATTACGGAGGAATGAGTAACAAATGGAGGGTTGAATGAAAAATCACCTCGAATAAATTTTTGAATGTTTTAGGGTACCTCATAGTATTTTTTATATACTAGAGATACCCGGAAATCGTTATTACAAAATAGAGGGTGTCTACCAACAGTTTTAAGTCTAAAATCTTGTTAGAGACCTTAGATTTTTGGCCAAATTTTATAAAAAACTGGCTCAATCAATTATATTGGATGATTAGTCTAGTTTTAAAAACTATGAAGTTGTTTATGATAATAAAGATAATTATTTTTTTGTTATTATTGTTATTATTATTGTTGTTGTTGTTGTTGTTATTATTATTATTATTATTATTATTAGTCAAGCCCACATCGTCAAAGCTCGTATGACTGGTTAAAGATTTGGATCCATATGATTTTGTTCCGGCTAGCCCAATACAATATTGAGATCTAGATCCGTTGAAGTGATAATCAAGGTAGGCACTCAATTAGATAAGGAGAGGTGCCCCATATGTGCCTTTAGTCCACTATCATATCCTAAGAATAAAGATTTTAATGGTTTTCTAGACCACCATAGATCTTCCCAGACACTATTTACAGGGTCAAACTTTACTCACTTTGTTTGCCCAATTTTACTATTCTCTTTCGCTGTCACAATTGATAATAATTTATAATCTTTATACATCCACATCTCACTCTCATATTCGGGTGGATTAAAGTTCATCGAGTGTCATATGATTAAGGCCATGTTTGACATCAGCGTTAGAGATTAGCGTTAGCATTTTGAAAAGGCGATCCGACGGTAACTTTTAGCATTAGCGTTTTTAGAATTAATCTATATCATTAAAATTTTATCCAAAAAACTAATGCTAATCGAAAACGTTGTTCCCAAACAAGGCCTAATTCATTATCTATGACTCACATATGATTTGGTTCAAATTTGATTCGAGTTGGATTTCATTTGATTTAGTTTGAGTTTCACTTGGTTGAATTTAATTTGATCTGGGTCAATTTTTTTATCTAATTGGAGAATAACTCAAATTGTAAATTAAAATTTAGTTCGTGTCATCTTAATTTTCGGTTACATTATTTTCTCGACTTTTAAGACTCATAATTTTATTTTAAGTGGGACTAGATTTGTTATTTAAAAATTGGGGTGATGGCGCAACTTGTTGTCTATTTTCTTGCCACTTTTTCTATAATTGGTTAAAAGTATTTTAGAGAAAATATAAAAGGTAAAAAATACATTAGAAGGAAAATAATAATAATAATAATAATAATAATAATAATAATAGATTGTATACTCAATTTTCAAATCATTTCAATTTTGGATTATTTCATTTAGATGATTAATTTCAAGTGTGTTAAGATTAGTTAGTTTAGACCTTGTTTTGGAATAATGTTTTCGATTAACGTTAATGTTTTGGATAATATTATAATGGTGTAGATTAATTTCTCCAAACGGTCAAGTTAAAGACTACCGTCGAATAACATTTTTAAGACGTTAATGCTAATCTCTGACACTGATATGAAAGAAGGCTAAATCATCATTGTATTCGTGACAAAAAAACAAAAAATACGAAAAACAAAAATTCATAATCATCAAAACAGATGAAAACTTAGAAAGCATGAGTCTTTTTCTCTTCTGGGGTATGCTGCGCTGTACTTTTTGTCTTAAAAAAATGATTTCAACCCCACTCTTATTATTAATCTTTTTGACTCTATCTCTGACTCTGCACTCCCCGTATTCCCTCCATTTCCAATCGACAGATCGCCGGAGATGGCTGCGTCGGCGCCTCCGACGGCGGCCGCAGAAGAGAAACGGATTGAGGTACTGACATTTCCGATACTTCTGTCCGAACAAATCAAGGACTCAGTCAAGGAGGCAGACGCCTTCAAATTGGAGTGCTTCGAGATCGGCAAACAAGTCGATCGTCTCTCCCAGATGCTCCGCTCCGTCGCCCGTCTCTGTACCTCCATATCTGGCCCCGTCTATGAGAAGCCGATCCGGAGGATTGTCACGGAGGTTTCGAAAAATCTGGACCGGGCGCTAACCCTAGTCCGGAAGTGTAAGCGGCGAAACGTCCTCCGCCGCGTTGTCACCATCGTGTCCGCCGCGGATTTCCGGAAAGTTCTCAGCCTCCTGGAGTCTTCTGTTGCCGATATGAAGTGGCTGCTTACCATATTCGACTGTGACGGCGGCGGTGGAGGTATTGTTTTGTCCCTTCCCCCAATTGCCAGCAACGACCCGATTGTGTCTTGGGTTTGGTCTTACATTTCTTCTTTGCATTTGGGTCAGTTGAATGATAGGATCGAAGCCGCTAATGAATTATCTTCGTTGGCTAAAGATAATGATAGAAACAAGAAAATTATTGTAGAAGAAGGTGGAATTTCACCTTTGTTGAAGCTTTTAAAGGACAGTTCATCTCCGGAAGCTCAAGTTGCTGCTTCAATTGCGCTGTTTAACATTGCAAACGATGAAGAAAGGGTTCGGGCCATTATTGATCAGATGGGGATTCCAATTATCGTTCAAGTGTTGGGAGATTCCCCTATGAGGGTTCAAATTTGGGTGGCGAATTTAGTCGCGAGGATGGCAGAATATAGCCCACTTGCTCAGGAAGAGTTTGCCAGGGAGAATGTGATCAGACCATTGGTGACTTTGATGGCATATGATATCCTCATGGACGATTTGAAATTGAAAGTTGGCAAGCAAAGCATCCACTCCATTGTGCAAATTAACAAGGAAATGGAGAAGAAATCATTGGGATCCTACAGCTATAAGCACACCCTGGGATCGCCACTGTCGAGGCATTTTTCAGAGGGTAGTAGCCGGGGTGGGAATCACAGGAAAGAGAGAGAAAACGAGAAGCAGGAAGTGAAACTGAAGTTGAAGGTCAGCTGTGCAGAGGCACTGTGGATGCTCGCGAAGGGGAGTATCTCAAACAGCAGAAGGATAACCGAAACTAGAGGGCTACTATGTTTAGCCAAGCTTGTTGAAACAGAGCAAGGGGAATTGCAACTAAACTGCCTGATGACAATAATGGAAATAACTGCTGCTGCGGAATCTGATGCTGACCTTAGAAGGGCCGCTTTCAGGACGAATTCTCCTGCTGCAAAGGCTGTTGTAGACCAGCTGCTGCAGGTGATCAAGGAATCAAACAGTCCGAAAATGCAAGTCTCGGCAATCCGGTCAATTGGCTGTCTTGCCAGAACATTTCCTGCAAGAGAGACGCGGGTAATTGGCCCTCTAGTTGAGCAACTAAGTAACAGGAATCTTGATGTCGCCGCAGAAGCTGCAAATTCACTTGGCAAGTTTGCGTGCAGTAAAAACTTTTTACACGCGGAGCATTCGAAGACGATTGTGGAATTCAACGCAGTCCCCCCTCTCATGAGACTTCTGAGAGGGAATGAACGGTCCCAGTTCCGTGGGTTTGTCCTCCTCTGTTACCTTGCTTCGCACGCTAGCAATAACGATGCTCTGGACCAAGCCCGGGTCCGGACTGTCCTTGAGGGGGCAGACCGCGCGTTATTCATCCAACATCCTGAGCTGAGAGAATTAATGTCGAACGCGACATACCACCTTAATGTTTATCACTCTGGATTGCTTCCTCAGCATCAGTCTTTTTCTCCTTAGTGTAAAGTTGTACTGTACATGGAAATTCATTGATTCAGAAGACAGTGGGTGGTGTTATGATGGTAGAAGAAGAGGTGTACTTTGCCAATGTACTTTAAGTGTCTTTTGATAAACTTGCTAGCTCATGCATATTGTAGTGGAGTGGTTATTTTTTTGTGTTGATTTCTTGTTTTGTGAAGGGAATAAAAAATGGTTCTATTCTGTATTGTTTTTCAGTCGCAAATGTCTATATTTGTGTTTCTCTTCGTTTATTACTTTTTGAATAGCAAACCTTCATCTTGTTCGAATAAATTTCACTGATTCTTGGCTTTCAGGTCTTTGCTTATTTTGTCAATGGATTAAAAAGCATTCATTTTTAAATGCAAAAATAGTGTCAATTCTGTCTGTGGGGATTTTATGGAACAGTATAGTACTTTTGCTTTTTTAAGGTCAGGTATTTCTTACTTTTAGGTCATATTCTCTTAATTTATTCTTATTGCTTGGGGAGCATTACTTTTTCTTATTTCAATCAAATCATACCATATCAGATCAAAATAGTTTTAAGTATAGCTGCATTTAGATCAAAACTTATTCCAATCAGATCAGGTGAAAAGAACATGACCATAATTTTGATGGCCAAAATCTAGATTTTTGTGTCTAGATTCTACTACCCCAACGGGAAAAATTGTGCCCTAAAATATATAAATTTAATACTATTTTTAATTATAGTTCATCTATCTTACACATCATACTTATTTTATCATAAAAATAAGGATAAAATGAAAAAATCTTATCAAAATTATACTATACTTTTAAGCAAAAACATGATAGCCGTAATCTTAAAATTAGAAGATCTCATGCGTGACAAAACGTATTGAAAAAATGACTTAGAGTGAAAAAAGAAACCAACATTAAAAGGTGATTAAGAAGCATAAACGATATAAGAGCATTCACAATGGCAAGGCAATGCCTTGCCATGTCATGCCATGTCAGCAAATTCCACTCAAATCATGGCATTCCATGACCATTCCACCCCACTTTCCATTCAATGTGCATGACATGACTCTCTCATTTTTTATTTTTATAAATATTTTTAGTATTTGTAATTTTTGAAAAAAATATTTTTTAAAAGAAGTAAACATATTTTAATAATAAAATATATTTTTAAAATAATTTTTTATAATTAAAAATCATTAAAAAGTGCAAAAATAGACAAAAACAACGACTTGCCACTATATGTTACGACACTCCATTCATTTGCCACACGGTGACTGAGTTACTTTTTATTGGTTGAAATAATCCATGTCACCGTGTGGCATTTCATTTTTGTCTTGCCTTTGTCAATGCTCTAAGGTAAAATGACACAAGGACTACTACCTATCGCGGGCTAGTAGTATGAATGCCCTCCGTGATTTATAAAAAGATCGTTAAAATCTTCTTTATTTTTAAAAGTTATTTGTAAAGTTCTTATAGTTTCTAAATAGAGTACACATGCCCCATTACCTATTTTTAAAGCAAAAAGGACATTTATGTCCTTTCTTTTCCTCTATCTTGGATTTTCCCAATTTTATTTTTCTTTACTATACAAGTATATAAAATAAAATATATGCTTCTCGTCTCAAATTAAAATTTTCCATAATGTATTTTTGAAAACAAAAGATTTTTTGGAGAATCTTACAAAAGAAAATGAAAAATAAAATATTAAGTACAAAGTAAGAATAATAATTGAAAAAGGTAATGAAAAGAAAAAAAAATAAAAAACAATCTTTTTATTTAACTCTGAATTTTATTCCATCTTTCTGTTCTTCATTTTTTAAAGTCTTTAAGAAGTTATTTTTCTTTTAAAAAACAAATAAGTTAGAATTTTTAATTAGAGATAGAGTGAGTATATGTTATCTAATTTTTTATTTTATTTATATTACTTTTACTTATAATGAAAAAGTGTATTTTATTTCAGTTTTTAATTTTTCATTTTGTTTTGTAACATTTTCTAAGAATATTATTTTTTTGAAAATTAAATAAATGAAAATTTTTAATTTGAGAGAGAGGGCGTATATTTTTTTTATTTCTATAACAAAAAATGCAAATAAAAGAGTGAAACTTGAAGATAAAGAAAAACGAAAGGCAGAAATATCCTTTCATGTCTAAAATAGGCAAGAGGGGGCGTCTGTGCACTACTTAAAACCATATGGGTTTTACAAATAACTTTTGAAAGTAGATGAGGTTTTGACGCTCCTTTTGTAAACCATGTGGAGCATCCATGCTATTACCCCTACCTATTGCCAAACATAGTTTTGAAATATGTAAATTGTATTTTAAAATTTCATCCCGGTCAATTTGAAATATGTAAAGTGAAATTTGCACTAAATAGGACTAAAACATAATGACTTTCCTAATGTAGGACTTAAACTTTTTTATTCCCTAAATAGGACTTAATAATGGCCTTGTGGAAGGAATAATGTCCAGTAATGATAGACATTTAGTTGAATAATGACTACTTGATAATGACCAAAGGTTCTACATTGGGAAATAAAAACATATGTTCCTATATTGGGAAAGTCATTATGTTTTAGTCCTATTTAAGTAAATTTCTCTAAAGTAAATTGTATTATGAAATTCCATCCCAATTTGAAATATGTGAAATGTATTATGAAATCTCATCCCAATTGCCTTATAAATGGAATGAAAAATAACTTTAGAGTAAAATATGAAGAAAATACCAAAATAAAAACTTAATGTTTTTAATCCAAAAATATGACTATTGTTATGTGACAATTTGACATTGTTCATTGGTATTACAAGGTGTTTTTTAATATTATATATTGACATTATTCGTAGTGTAACTTTTATCTGTGGAATAAAAATATGAAACCCATATTTTGATATCTTTCATGTTTTACTTATAGTTTAGTATTTTTACTGCCTGATAAAATAATAAAAACAACACTAATAATAATAACAACAACAATATTATTCTGTCGCACTGCGTTGTCTGCCCTAGTTTAGTATGTCCATGTCACACAACAATATTATACACATATCGTTTATACACATATCGTTTAGCTATGAATGTAATAGTTGTAATACTAATAATAACGATGATAATTCTAATAATAATCATCATTATCACACTAAAATTACATTATTTTTAGAGTAATGGTTTGGAAAGTAGAAAGAGTTTAAAGAAAATGAGAATATTTGGAAAAAATTGAAAGAACTAGAAGAAAATGATAAAAACTATAAAAAGCTGGAAGAAACTAGAAGAAAAAATAGAAGTTAAAAGTTAAAAACTCTAAAGAACAAGCTGTTAGTATGATTGATTAGTGTCTTGTATTTTTTTTTTTATGTCAACACCTACACAAATTTGAAGTAAGGATTATGCGACTCATTTTGGAGGACAATAAGATGACATGATTTTCACAACGATATTACATTGAGCTTGACCCAAGTTTATCCATTAATATTTAGTTTTGTTTATGTTTTAAAATGTTTTAATAAGGACTAATCTGTCAGAGTCGTATTCAAGGAATCAGGAGCCCTGTACGAAACAGAAAAAAGTATAGTTTTATGATAAAAAAGTAAAAAATCTATCAATTAATTTTATTTAATAATAATTAACATTATATTATAGTAATAAGTGCAATAAAATGTCAACTCATAGTCTTATAAATTTGTAATAACATACTCTGTACTTTAGTACCTAATCGAAAATTCGTGAAAATCTTCTATCATTCTTAAGAGCAAATAGGTTGATTAACTCTTTATAATCTATTAGATTTAGTAATTTAGGGCTATATTTTAAAAATAAATTAGGAAATTTTTTATATAAATAAGTACAAACATATATATACCGAAAAAATTGGCCCCCCTTAAAAAATGGGCCCTGCCCTCCCTTAGAGCAAACTCATGCAATCTGTTAATAAACTATCCATACTTTATTTAAAAAGACATGTATTCAAGAGATGGTTTTCCCGCCCATGCGTTATTGCATTAAAAATGGTAATTGTTCACTTAAAATGGTAATGACAAAATGATAATTTTTATTCCATTAACAAACATGGTTATTAATATTACATACAAATGGTAATTTTTATTCCATCATTAAATGGCAATTAATGTTACATACAAATGTTACACGGTTCTATCAAAATGGTAATTTTTATCACATTATTATGGTATTAACCATACTAATACAAATGGTAATTTTTATCACACGGTATTAACCATAATATTATAAATGGAATTTAATATTACACGGTATTAACAAATGGTAATTTTTATTCCATTAACAAATGACAATTAATATTACACGGTATTAACCGTAATAATTAGGTTAAAATGGCGGAAAGGTAAGTTAATTATTGTGAAATGAAATTTATATTACTTTTAACACAAAATGCCTTTAAAAACGTTATATTATTAATCTAAAAAATTATTATTATTATTAATCTAAAAAATGGTTTAAAAACTATAAATATAGTTCCTTTTTTATCACACGATATTTATCAATTCGTATAGAGTGTATTAATTGTACAATTTCTTATATTATTTTAACCTTTTTTTTGGTAAATTTCATAGAGTTTCTTTTTTGGTAAAGGTAAGTGATCCATACTTTATTTAAAAAGACATGGAGTCAATATTGCGTTTTCCCGCCCAAAGAGTATGACCATTGCATATGATAATGTGAAGTTAAAATGGCAAGTGTCTGAATTTATAGTAATATAAAATTTACATTTTATAAGTATAATTATTATAAAATATTTATAATAATTAAGTTTCATTTTTAATGTCCGAAATTTATACGAGCAAGAAAGGTAGGTTATAAAAAATATTTATAAACTTTAATACATGCCAATCAATACTATTAAAAACGTGTGTATGATTATTATTATCATAATTATATAATTATATGATTACCGTGTGACTAGGTTATATAAAAAATGTGTGTATAACTATAGTACGGAGTATAATATAATTATGGTAAGAATAATTATACACATAGTTTTGAAGAAATTAATATGATAAAACCCTTTATATATATATATATATATATATATATATATATTTATGATTAATAGCAAGAAAGGTAATAACCAAAAGTATAATAATTATTACTCCATGTAATTATTAACTATATAAATGGTAAGTGTCCGAAATTATAGTGTCCATTTTTAACCCGTGCACAAAATATGACCATTACATATGGTAATTTTGAAATTAAATGGTAAGTGTCCGAAATTAAAGTAATGTAAAATGGTAATTGTGAAATTAATATAATTATTATTTTTGTAAGTATGGTAAAAAATAATTATTTTTACAAGTGTCCAAAATTATGATATTAAGCACGCTATTAATGAAATCTAATTAATTATTATTTCAAATTAATTATAGTAATTTTAATTATAATAATTTCAATTAAAATTGTATATTACGTGTGATTACTGTGTCAAATTAATTATAGTAATTAAATGTTAGTTACCGTGTAAAATTAATTATATTAATTTCAAATATAGTAATTTTAATTAAAATTTTATATTACGCAATTAAAAATCTAATATTACGTGTGACTACATAATTGTATATTAATTACCGTGTCAAATTAATAATAGTAATATTAAGTATCATAATTTTATAATGGCTATATTTTAATTATAGTGGATATATTTTATAATTGTAATATTTTACTATATTTTAATTATAGTAATTTTAATAAAAAAAGATAATAATTAACGAAGGTATTAATTATATAACACTATGACTACATAATTGTATACTCCGTATTAATTACCGTGTCATTTTAATTATAGTATCTTTAATTATAGTAATTATAAATATAATAATTTAAATAATTAGTAATTGTTAAGTATTTAAAGATGGAAAGAAATTAAAGTGTCTGAAATTATAGTAATATAAAATGGACTATAACTATTGTAAGAATTAAATATCCCTTAAATATATATATTTACGTTTAATAGCTAGAAAGGTAATAACTAAGAAAGGAAATAATTAACTTTCATTTTTAAAGTGTCCGAAATTATACTAGCAAGAAAGGTAATAAAAAAGGTAATAATTAACCATGGTATTAATTATGTATCCGTGTGACTAAATAATTGTATATTAGTTATTGTGTCAAATTAATTATAGTAATTTTATAATGGCTATATTTTAATTACTGTGGCTATATTTTATAATCGCTATATTTTACGATATTTTAATTATAGTAATTTTAATAAAAAAAGGTAATAATTAACTAATGTATTAATTATATAACCGTGTGACTAGATAATTGTATACTCCATATTAATTACTGCGTCATTTTATTTATAGTGATTTTTATTATAGTAATTTTAAATATAATAATTTAAATAGTTTAAGTATAGTAATAATAATTTAAATTCATTATAGCACTTTGAAAAATAATATTTTTTAAACCCCGTATGCAAAAATCATGTTATAAATACATCCATTTACCAAGCTTTCATAGCCATTACAATCATCGTGAATTTTTTTTCCCTACGTTTCAAAATTGTCATTCTACGAAAAATGGGTATCTTAACTGCTTTGAAAAATGTTGATGAGTGGTCATCACATATTTCCGTAACAATAATTCAACATGTTTTAGTCACGGACAATTCTATGTTGCAGTTTTAAAAGTAACTAATCGTAGTGGGTTGAAGATTCTAATATGCAATGAAGACATTATTCCCATAAATTGTTCAAATAATGTAGTCTATAAAGAAGTCTTTCGAAATTTGTAAAGCAGTGATATTTTGTATCTTAAAATAATATAATCTCTATATTTTATTGCATCTCATTTTTTATCATTAAAAAATGATTTGAATTTAATAACATAAAAATGACCCGTGCAACACACGGGTGTGATACTAGTTGACACTTGATGCCTTTTGAGTCTGGGGTGGGGTGTGACAATTATCATAGGCTAATCACATTTTTTTCAACTACTTATTTCACATATTAAAAAAGATATTTTTTATAGAAACGAAAGCTTTATTTTGGGACAAAAAATGGAAAACAAGAACCTTATTTTAGAACAAAAGAATATATTGAAAATAAATTGAATTTAACTTTTGTTATCTGCAAATAGATAACGTGTTCAAAATAATACTCCTCCGTCTATTAATTAATTTTCCGGTTTGATCGGACACACACATTACTGCGTGATAAAAATTGTAATGAATTTTCTAATATACCCTTAACATGCCTACTACCCTTAACATTCCCGGTTTGAAATATCTCATACTCCTTTCTTCCGACAATTGATTACAATGTTTATTATTCAAAATAACAATAACCTTTACAAAGTATTTATTTGTGTATTTTTATTAATTATTTGATAAACTAAAATATTGTCATCATCTCTTATTTTCTAAATTTTTAATGTAATTTTTAAATACGTAAATTTTATTATTTATTTATATCTCAATCCTCAAATAAAAAGAAATGTAAAAAGTTTGAAATTTTTATCCCCTTTGTGCAATTTGTAATCAAATCAAAATGACAAATACCCCGAGTATAACGGAGAGTAGTAATTTTCCATTAAAAAATCATTTCCAGCAGCACCGAGATCTGGCAAAGTTGCCTAAGGGGCTCGGACTCGTGTCATCTCTCCTAAAATGGCCAAACCAACACCGGAGCAGCAGATCTGATCGCGAATCTAGGCCTCTGTGGCCGTTTGATCTACGATCTCAGCCTTAGTTCAGAATTCAGCAGCCGCCAATGGCCGGAGCGGCGTCGGCGTTGTTCCTCTTGGACATCAAGGGCCGGGTACTCGTGTGGCGAGACTATCGCGGCGATGTCTCCGCCTCCCAAGCCGAACGTTTCTTCACCAAGCTGCTCGAGAAAGAGGTTTTTTTCCCCTCATTTTTTGTAGTAATTTTCATATTTCTTCCACTGTTTTTTTCCCTGCTCAATTTTTGTTGTTGATATCATAATGCTTAGTTGTAATGCATTTAGTTCAAAATTCGCGGCCCTAGTGAAGATTGCAAGAGTAATCCACTTGTCTGAAGAGACTCGAGAAATTTGAATAATTCTAGGGCAGATATTAAAACTGGACACTATCAAAGGACATTCATATGGTTATAACCGTATGCCTATTTTGTGTGACATTTGGTGCGCGTGTTCAAGGAGAGAAGAGAGGAGGGTGGGGGATAATGATTTTAATGCTTTCTTGTTTGGTCTGGTGGGAAAAGTTTTTTAATGGCCTGCTATTTTGGTTTAAGAGGAGAGGCCGTTATGCTCTCTGTGTGGAATAGTGAACTTCTAGATCTATCTGGAAGAGTGACGTTCACTGCAAGTGTGTTCATAATTTTTTTATGGCATTGTCCAATGGTAGTTTTAGACTACTTTTAGCGAGGAAATCTTGCCCCCCTCCAAAAAACCTCATCTTGAAGGGAACCAAGATTAGAGGGGATGAAGGAGGATGGGAGAGAAAATTTGGCTCCCGTACCATCCAATGTTTCTTTTACCAAATGAGGAAGTGGAATGCATTTCCATCCCCTCTACTTCACCGAATCCCTCCAACCAAACATATAAGGAGGCTAAGTTAGAGGTTACAAGGGCAAAGAATGCAGAATTTGAACGCCTTTATAAGGACATTGAGGAGCAAGGCAGTGAAATGTGTGAAGGGAAGTGATGGTAGAGTGTTGTTTGAGCCAACTGTGGTGGCTAATCGGTGGGGGGAGTATTTCTGTGGCTTACAGAATGCGGGACGAGATTCGAGGCTAGAACTAGGTGGGCTAGCACAGTCCAAGACACATCGGTATTTTGGGTATTGCCGGCATATTAGTCTGGAGGAGGGGGCCCGGGCCGTCCGCGGGATGAGAAGTGGGAGAGCCTTGGGGCCGGATGAGATTCTAGTGGATTTTTGGAAGTTTGTGGGCTGGGGTGGGTTAGTTTGGTTAACTGAGCTCTTCAATGTTATTTTCAAGACAGCTAGGATGTTGGGCGAGTAAAGGGAGAGTGTGTTGGTCCCTCTATTTAAGGGTAAGGGTGACATTCAGAGTTGCGAGAGTCATGGTTTTAAAAGGCGACCGAGGCGGTCTGCCTCGAGGCAGTGAGGCGGTAAGGCGGTTGCATTTCGCCTCTGAGGCTTAAGCCTCAGTAGGGACACACCTGAGGCGTACGCCTCACAATGTTGAGGCGGTCCGAGGCGGTCTGAGGCGGTAAGGCGTAACCGAGGCGTAAGCCTCACTTTTAATAAGAATTTCAGCAATTATAAGAGTTACTTTTAAAAGGCTATTGGGCCTCTTTTACAAAAAACTCTTTTGGGCCAATGCATTATAAAGTTTCTTAAGAAAAATTTAATAAACCTAGTAGATAATTATCACTTCTTTCCAAGACTTTTAGCGTCACCTTTCGTCTCTCCATCTTCAACCGTACTTCTCTCCATCTTCAGACTTCAATGGCACAACTTCACTCTTGTGGTAACCGCTAAGGCAATTACTTCATATTTAATAGCTTATCTTCTATTTCTTTCATCTTCTTCTTTCAGCTTTTAATTTTTCCGGTTCCTTCTTTTCCAACATCCCTCTCCCTCTTTTAAATTCGGTTCAAACTTCAAAGAATGATGTAACTTTTTTTTGCGTGAACTTTTGTCCATATTTAATATTTATAAGGTTTGGAGANGCCTCGTTCCGCCTCGAGGCTTACGCCTCAAGGCATTTTGCTCCACCGCCTCGAGGCTAGTTTTCGCCTTTCAAAACCTTGGCGAGAGTTACAAAGGCATTAAATTGCTTAGCCACACCATGAGGGTTTGGGAGCATATCATTTATTATAGGTTGCGGAAGGGGGTTTGCATTTCTGAGGACTAATTTGGGTTCATGCGTGGCCCATCAACCACTGAGGTCATCATGCAGGGGTTGATGGAAGAATATAGGGCTAGGAAGAAGGATCTTCTTATGGTGTTTATTTACCTCGAGAAGGTGTACGACAGGGTGCCTAGGGAGGTGTTGTGGAGGTGTCTTGAGGTGAGAGGGGTGTCGATCGCATACATTCGTGCAATCAAATGTATGTACAACAGGGCAAGGATTAGGTAAAGATTGTTGGGGGTGACTCTGAGCCTTTCACGGTGGAGGTGGGGTTACATCAGGGATCTACCCTTAGCCCTTTCTTGTTTGCTCTGGTGATGGACGTCTTGATGCTAGGAGTTCAAGGGGAAGTCCCGTGGTGCATGCTTTTTGCTGATGATATTGTGCTCATCGATGATACCTGTGAGGGACTAAACAACAAGTTGGAACTTTGGTGTCGTTCCTTGAAATCTAAAGGATTCAGATTGAGTAGGACCAAGACTTAAGACATGGAATGTCCGTTTTAATGGCCGAAAGATAGAATCACGGGTGGAAGTTAGGAATTATTCTCACCCAATTCCCAAGGCAGACAAGTTTCAGTATCTTGGCTCAATTATCCAGGTGGATGGGGAGTTGGATGGGGATGTTGTGCATCATGTTCGAGCAGCTTGGGCTAAGTGGAGGTTGGCTTTAGGGGTTTTGTGCGACAAGAAGATTTCGAGTAGGATGAAAGGAAAGTTTTACTGGTCCGTAGTGAGGCCGTCTATGCTATATCGTGCAGAGTGTTGGGGAGTTAAGAAAACCCAGGTTTGTCAATTGCATGTGGCTGAGATGCGGATGCTGCGGTGGATGAGTGGAAAGATGAGGATGGATATTCATAACGAAGTTACCCGAAGATGGGTAGGCGTGGCTCCTGTGGAGGATAAGCTACGGGAAGCTAGGTTGAGCTGGTTTGGGCATGTGAGGAGGTGAAGTGTCGACGCCCGTGCAGAGATGCAAGAGACTTACGTTGGCAGGTGGGGGTAAGGGAAGAGGTAGGCTTAGGAGGAATCGGAAGGCGGTGATTAGTCAAGATCTAAGACTTCTTGCTCTCACTGAGGATATGACCTTAGATAGGAGCGTGTGAAGAGTTGTTACTAGGGTAGTCGGGTAGATGTTTTGGACTTTGTGGTTGTTTCTCCAATTGTGTGCTCTGTTTGCTTGTAGGTAGACTTGGCAAAACGGTCGGTCAGGTCGGGTTCGGGTTCGGTATAATCAAGTTCAGTATAATCAAGTTCGGGTTATTTCGGGTTTGGGTCACTTCAAGTTCGGGTCTAAGAGTGCTTGTTCATGACCCAGAGTTATCGGGTTCGGGTTGACCCAACGAGTTAAGAGCCGTATTTAAAAATTAAAAATTTTTCTATTTAGAGATCATGTGATCCGAGCATTATTCAAAACAAAGAACGAAATCATAAAAGTTTGTAGTTCTATTTGCAACATACCAAAAGAGTTTTTCAATATACCCAAAAAAATCACCTTTTTGCAGCATACCAAAAAAATTGCACTAGATTAAAAAAATTGAAGATTCTTTCAACATACCCAAAAATATATATACGCTATAAAAAAATTGAAATTCTTGCATCATACCAAAACAAAAGAAAAGAATTAAAACCTGAGTTACACGTAGGAGCAACTGAAGAGGATGAAATAGGATTAAAAATTCCACTATTGTTCTGGTGTCTTCTCACCATTTTGATCGAGTTGACATCTAATATCAACGAACGGTGGAAGAGTGGGAGAACTATATATATATATATATATTATGCCTTTTGAGTTTTGAGTAGCCTAATGGGTATATCATATTTTAAATAAATATATAAAACTAAATAACTAATAAAAATAAACAATTAAGTGCATAACCCGTCGGGTCAAACCCGACCCGAAAATTTAACGGGTCTTCAAGTTCGGGTCGCAAAATCAATGTTCAAAACCCGCTAATTTCGGGTCGGGTTTCGGATTAGTAACGGGTCGGGTCAAATTTTGCGAGGTCTACTTGTAGGCTTGATGCCTTTTGGTTGTAGGCTTGATGCCCTTTGGTGATGTGTTTTTGTTATCTTTGCTATTTATGTTTTCTGTGTTCTCATTTTTATCCCTGCTCTTGTGGGATCCAACTAGGTTGTTGTTGTTGTACTTTTGATGTGGTGATGGCCCACCTTCATGTCTAGAACTTTTGGGGGGAACTTCTCATGCATTTGTACTATTCTCAATAACATTTGGACTAGGAAGCACATACTCAACAAAGAAAATTATTAAATTGAAAAAGCAAATTAGTTCTTTGTATCTAAGTTTTGTTTCTGATTTTAATACTTTTAATTGACATAATTGAAGGTTGTGCTGATTTCAAGAACAAAGCTTTATGATCTAATTGAATTCACCATTCAGGAAAATGGGAGCCTAATAGCTCAACATTTAAATGATTTGAAGTACTGTTCTTGAGATAGACATTCTTAATTCTTTGATCTGCATGTGCTTTTGGTTGATATGCTTTCTGCCTCTTCTCCAATTCCTTTCTATTTTGTCATTAATCTGTGTTCTCCCTCGAAATTTATCACTTATAGTTTGATTTGGTTTCAGGGAGATCCTCAAGATCCTGTTGCATACGATAGCGGTGTTACATATATGTTTATCCAGCATAACAATGTGTACCTTATGATTGCGTCAAGGCAGAACTGCAACGCTGCTAGTCTTCTTCTGTTTCTACACCGTGTAGTCGAAGTAACTACTATTGGAGATTGGATATCATATCTAGTTATATATGAATGGTCAATTTAATTTCCTTTTTTTGTTGACCAATGCTCTTGTAATTTTTGATATAGGTGTTCAAGCATTATTTTGAGGAGTTGGAAGAAGAATCTTTGAGAGATAATTTTGTTGTAGTGGTAGGAGGAGTTGTGAATACATTTATCCAGTCTTGTTACATACCCATTTAAAGATTTGATTATAATGGACTACCTGTGGTCCACCTATCTTAATAAAGACTTTATATGGTTGGACTGCTTTTTTCCACAGTATGAGTTACTTGATGAAATCATGGACTTTGGATATCCTCAATTTACTGAAGCCAAAATTCTTAGTGAATTTATCAAGACTGATGCTTATAGGATGGAAGTTACACAAAGGCCTCCAATGGCAGTCACTAATGCAGTATCTTGGCGCAGTGAAGGGATAAATTACAAGAAAAATGAAGTAAGCTTCTTTAGTTTACTTCATCAGTAAGTTTTAAGCCTCTGCTGGACTCAAATGTTTGATGTATCCAGGTATTTTTAGACGTTGTGGAGAGTGTTAACATTCTTGTCAATAGTAATGGACAAATAGTGCGGTCAGATGTTGTTGGTGCCTTAAAGATGAGGACATATTTGAGGTGTGTTTTTCTGCTGAATAAGAATTCTTTGTGTTCTGCTGTTAAAAGCCATACGGAAATAAGTTTTCATGTGTCCTTTATATTTTATTTGAGAAGATAAGTATGACCATGCCTGTGATGCTCATAGTTCATATTGGTGTTCTTTCTACTCCTTTTGACTGTTTTGTTGAAAATGCGAAGCACACCCTAAACAGCACTCATGGAGTCATAGCAGTAGGCATTTGGCATACAAACAACATACACTGCACACAGTCTGGGTTTTGAGTATTCATGAATCTTCTTTAGTAGATTTCGTTGTCATCATCACCATCATCCTCTTACTAAAAAAATGTTGGTGTCAAAGACATTAACCGTAGTGTGAATTAATTGAGTAAAATTATTGAACACGGTAGATTCCAGTAAAAAGAGCATATTGACAAGCATTGCACCCTATTCCCATATGGTTATCTTCTTATGAAGGAATACTGATATAATTTCAAAAACTGTCATACTCATCATCATATGATTTTTCCACTTGGGCAAAATATATCACGAAACAACAACGAGTTGAGATATCTGTTCTAGTCAAGTCTCATCACAAGTTTAAAATTGTAAAAGCAACCTGCACATCATGGAATATGACCAAGTAGTAGTTTCTTTTCTTCCAAAATATTAATTATTGCTGTTTCTACTCATGCAGTGGTATGCCCGAGTGTAAACTTGGCCTGAATGATAGAGTACTACTGGAGGCTCAAGGGCGGTCTACTAAGGGAAAAGCCATTGATTTAGATGACATCAAGTTCCATCAGTATGTATTTAGGTTTATAGCTTAGTTCTATTGTGTAATGCTTTCTTTAACTGAAGTTCTATCAAGGACCATGACATACCTCAGTAGATATATACGGGAGATTGTTATATAGGGGCCACTTGAACCAAAAACCACCACCGTTTAAATCTCGCTTTAGTTGGTTCGTGATTATGAAGGAGTCGGGGGTCTCTTTGGAAACAACCTCTCTACTTTCGAGTAGGGGTAAGGTCTGCGTATACACACCCTCCCCATACCCTACTCTTGTGGGATTCAACTGGGTTGTTGTTGTTGTGTACTTGTGTTTATGAAGGAGTAAGGGAGGGTAAATAAGAGTGTGCTTCCTTTTATCCTTGTATGGGACATTTTTTGTAGGGCAAGGGTGAGGATTAGCTTTACTCCCTTTTACACCTATTTACTCCCTAGTTTAAAAACTCCAAAATGGAGTGTAAGAGAGAGTAAGATCAAACTTCCAAAAAAGGACTCTTCACTTGCTCTTAAGTACTCTTTTTTACCCTCTCTTTTTTCGACGTCGAGCCGGGGGTCTCTTTGGAAACAACCTCTCTACTTTTGAGTAGGGGCAAGGTCTGCGTACACACACTCTCCCCAGACCCTACTCTTGTGGGATTTAACTGGGTTGTTGTTGTTGTTGTTGTCTCATTTCTCTTACCTTCAAACCTACCCTCCATCCAAACAAAGCTTAGTGACAAATCATGTAATTTACTCTTTGGATTAATTTAATCTTAATCCTCCCTTTGTCCCAAATAAATGTTCATTGATGGATTGGGCAAAATGTTTAATAATATAAACATTGTCTCGTTGAAAATTATGCAAATGAGAAAGTTTGTGAGTCACAAATTTTCAATATACTCCCTCTATCCCAAATTAATATTCCCGGTTTGCCCGAGATTAAGAAAGGTTGAGAAAGCTGTTAACTTTACTATAATGCCCTTGAGCAAGTTAAGATCCCGTCCGCAAATAGGAACACTCTTGCAAATTAAAATTCTGCCCTTGCTACCTCCCTCACCATTAGGTGCAAAAGCTTGATCCGTATAATAGCCAGGAACTCCGCCACTGCAGTCTTTGGGAGCTCCACTACAATTGCCGGGAACTTTGTCGCTGCAATAAAAAACTCCACTGCAATTGTTGAGAACTCTGCTGATGCAATTGCATGGAATCCGCTTCTGCAATTGCTGGGATTTCCGGCACTGCAATTGCAAGGAACTCCGCTGCTACAATTACCATGAACTTCGCCGCTGCAGTTTCCAGGAATCTTTCCGCTGCAATTCTCCCTCACTCCCCTTTTGAGTCAAGCTTCATTGACAAATAAAAGCATACAAACAGATGCAGGGAGTGAGGGTCGTGGATGTGATTGAACTTTGCCAGAATCCTCATTGTCAGATGAGATGGATCTTTGCCGTTGCCATCTCTAGAAGAGAAGGTCGTGGAAGAACAAAAGGGGGGTGAGGGAGTCTAAGGCTAATCTTGTTTTTACAATAAAAAAAAGTTTCTTTTTTAAGAAATGAGAACCTTATTTTGGGACAACCTTGAAAGAAAACTGGGAACCTTATTTTGGGACAGAGGGAGTACTAGAAAGAAAGAAAATGCATATATTTTTGGAATTCACCTAGTTCTCTATTCTTCAACACTCATAGTCATCGTCTTCTGGGAATTATAGATGTACGTTCTGCTAATAGTCTTGGTTCTGCAACAAACTTTCCTAATAAATACTCAACAATAGAATAAGTTAATATTTTTACTTAAAAAACCTGTCACCTTCTTCCCTTAGTCTCATGTCTGATATGGATGGAGGTTGGAGGTGCTGAAGCTGAAGACGGTCGCAGAGGGAAAGGGGTTGCTGCTCCAAATGCCAAAATCGGGGATGGCTGGCCTGCGGTTGCTGGGTCTCATAATTCTAGGGGAAACTGGAGGCGACTGGCGAGATGGTTGTGGCGATTCAAGGTTGAGGACTCTAGATGGAGATCTTATTGGCCTAGAAATCATCAGATAATGGAAATGGGCTAGAGATAGAGCCAGAGAAAGGAAATAATGTTCTGTTCAGTACATTGGTTATTACCACTTCATCTTCATCCATCATTCAGACAAGAGCATAGTTATTTTTATTTTAAAGTAGAACTAGCTAGAGCTCATGTGAGTTAATTAGCTTATAGACATATTGTCATGCTTCGATTTAGGTGTTCCTCAAAGAGGTATGATACACAATCGTGGAAAGGGAAGCTTGAGATGAGATAAGAAGAGAAACACGAAAGTAAGGGGAAATGGAATTGAACATATAGGAAAAGAAAAAAAAAGGAATGACACAAGCATTCAACCAAATGCTAACCTAGAAAATGTGAGTTTTGCACAAACGTTTTAAGTTTAGGTAGTGTTCCTAGTAGGACAGCTTATTTTACAGTTTCCTCCATACCTTTATGTTACACCAGTGGAGCTTTATCTTTCACATTTCACATTTAAATGAACTTCGTGACTAATCTCGTTAAAAGCCATTAATTTTTTATTTTATTTATCCACCCTTCTCATTTCTTTATTCATTCTCCTGGCGATTTCTACTTCATGTCCAGATGTGTTAGACTAGCCCGCTTTGAAAATGATCGAACAATATCTTTCATACCTCCAGATGGATCTTTTGATCTCATGACCTACAGGCTAAGTACTCAGGTATGGTATTTGAGGCCTTGTGTTTTTATGTCTTCTTTGTTCAATCATAGATATCTTTGTGTTTACACATAGCTCCCTCCGTTCGAATTTAAGTTGCATGTTACTGTTTACAATATTTGACTAAAGTTAATTTATTTGATAATTAGTATGGAATTTAAAAATAAACTTTACATATAAAATAACTACTTAAAAAGTTCTACAAAACAAGAGGTGATATGACTATACTATTTTATCAAATGAGCAACAAAAATGGGCAAACAAAGTGGTTAAAGTTTGACCATATAAATAGTGAACATGCAATTTAAATTGGGACTTAGGGAGTAGTAAAATTACAAAAATAGTAGTAAAAATATCGACAGTGTTAAATGGTCTTATTGGTCTTCCGCAAACAGGTTAAGCCTTTGCTATGGGTAGAAGCTCAAGTGGAAAGGCACTCTAGGAGCCGCATAGAATTTATGGTGAAAGCACGGAGCCAATTTAAAGAGCGCAGGTATGCTTATTATATCTAGTATGGGACGCAGTCACGCAGATCCTATAAAGAGCTTCGTAACACCATATTCTACATTCTAGATGGCATCTATAGTAAATACATGGTGCTGTAACAATGTAATTGTTTTGTTTTCAGTACCGCAACAAATGTTGAAATTGAGTTACCTGTACCAATCGATGCTACTAATCCTAATGTCCGCACTTCCATGGGTTCTTCTACTTATGCTCCTGAAAAGGATGCATTGATTTGGAAAATAAAGTCTTTTCCAGGTGGTAAGGTAAGAACATGTATTGATATGTTGCTTCGATGTTAATATTGGCCTGTCTATTTCTTAGCTCAATAAATAACATGCATCTGAAAGTTCTTTGTTTTCCTTCTTAGGAATATATGCTGAGAGCAGAGTTTCGCCTTCCTAGTATTACCTCTGAGGAAGCAGCCCCTGAGAGAAAAGCTCCTATTAGAGTGAAGTTTGAAATACCATATTTTACCGTTTCAGGAATACAGGCAAGCCCTTATTTTGCTAGACTCCAAAAAAATTGCAAAATGGGGGGGGGGGGGGTGGTGGGGGGGTGAGGGGCTATGTCCTTTGTCAACTCTTTATTGTCAAGACCAATCATTGGTTCAAAGGAAAATGCCCAATGGTACTATTACAATTTGGTTTTACAGTATCATTTTTGTCCCTCAACCTTGTAATGTATCAAAATGGTACTTGAAATCAAAGCGAATGTTATATTTATGATACCAAAGTAAATTATGATCACATTTTTACTGAGTTGATAGCTGGAATGCACAGTCAGATATCACGTTAGGTTAAATGAAACCAATCATGTAGCAATGCCTTTTGCCACATATTGACTTTGACAGTCTTTTGTTTATTGGAAAAAGATGTGCCATAAGTCATTACGTGACAATATTTTCTGTAAAATTCCTTTTGTGGAACCTAATCTGCCATTTATGGTACATTCCCGCTATCAACTCAACAAAATGACTGGAATTCACCTTTTCACAATGTAATGTGACATTCGTAACGAGTGGTGTATCATTGTGATACATCATAGTTGAGGTACTAAAATGGTGGAGTATAAATCAAATAGTAACAGTTCCATCTCAGCATTTTATCTTTGAAACAAACTCTTGATATGCAGTTATGCACCTAAGTATATATTTTATACATCCAAGTCCATGAAGCAAGGTTGTGTGTATGGGTTCGGGAAATAAAATTTTATTAATCATAATGATACATATAATCTAATGTACACACACATGGTGAACTTCCAATACATACACCCGAGCTATATTTCTTCCGTGGTTAGAGCACCTAGTGCTCACAAGTCTCTTCCATGCTTATTTTATTAAGGAAAATGTTTTTTGAACATCTTGGCACCAAAGGCAAACTAGACAATTGCTATCTGCACGGAAGTGTCTGTATTTGTCTTTGGTGTCAAAAGTGGTGTCACAACTCAGAAGTGGGGTTCCCCTAGCATTGCCCTTTTATTAATGGTCACAATTTGCACCCTATTTGAAGTTTGCTATATGGCTTTTACTGATATAATTTTGGAATCCTTTCTGTAGGTTCGATACTTGAAGATCATTGAAAAAAGTGGCTACCAGGCTCTTCCTTGGGTGAGATATATCACTATGGCTGGCGAATACGAGTTAAGACTCATGTAAAAACTTCTTCTATATGGTATATTTTTCTTCTCTAAATGTCACCAACCTATTTAAGTTTTTCCAAGGAAATTTCAGTAGCTGTGATGGTTCTGATGAGGCTAAAATATCTTGTCTTGTAAGATTTTTTTTCTTTTCATTTTCCACTTTGTGGTGATACCATGAAACAGCTGTTTCAAATGAGTTTCGTTTGCTTGGGTGACCTGCACAGTTTTGCTGGCCTTGGTTTTAGGGCGTGTTTGGCAAACATCATGTAGCAGATATCAATTTGTATTAGCAGTTTTGACTAGGAGTTAACAGCTTTTAGCCTTTTAAAACCATCTCTTTTCCCCAGCATATTCCTCAGAATTATGATTTACCAGACATTTCAGTTAGGATTTTTAGCATATTTTTAGATAGGATCTAAGACTTCTGGCCAATACAATCTTAAAAAATAGCATTTGGAAAACTATGGAGTAGTTGGGTAAGTGTTTTGCACTAGGTGGTAGTTTTCCCAGTTGTTGCCCTGTGCTTTTTATGTTCAGTGTTTTCTGTTTGATGTGCTTTTCCTTCGTTAGTATTACTTCCTCCGGTCCTAAAAATTCTTCGTATCTTTGACTTTTTTGTCAAATAGTTACTCTTTGACCACAAATTGTGAGAAAAATAAATTTAATTATAATATAAATTCAATATAATTGGATTCGTCTTAAAATATAGTTTTGATATATCAAATTTTTATACCATTTATTTGTTTGGATTATGTTTAATTAGTGGTCAAAGAGTGTCACAATGTAACAAAAAAAGTCAACACATGAAAGATTCTTAGGATCGGAGGGAGTAGTTCTTTGCCTTTCTTTTGTATTCTGTGTTTTTGCTATTTAATGTCTTTTGTGAGGCTATGCTATTTTGCTATTTGTGTTATTTAAGTCGGGGTCTCTTGGAAACAACTTTCCTACTCTTAAAAAAGTGGAAATGATTGTTCGCATGCACACTCCCTAGACCTTATTCTCGTGGGATCCGACTTCATTCAACTAGGTTGTCATACCATCCAAAAGTGTTTGCGGTCGGAATTGTAAAAGAACATGTTGCTTATCATTATTATGGCGATGAAGAAACATGCACATAATTTTTATGTGCACGAGACTTTTAGGGTCCGTTTGGTATACATGAATTGATAGAATTGGAATTGAAATTCCATGGGATTCAATTCCATAGAATTGAATTCACCAATTCCAATTCATTTTTTGCACTATTAATTCTAAATCCATATAATTTTTGTGTTACCAAACACCATAATGGTATGTTTGGGAACATGGATTTGGATTTCAAATCCGGATTTGGTTTAAATTCCATGTTTGGGAAACTTAATCATTTTGAATTTGTATTTGAATCAAATTTTTTACATTCAAAACAAAGCTTAATTTGAAATCCATGCACCTCTCCTTGTCATTTGGAATTCAGGATTTCAAATTTTGGAATTGAAATGCATGAATTGAAATGAAATGCTAGTTGCCAAACACTATCTAATTGGAATTGAAGTTCTCAATTATAATTTCATAGTTTGAATTCCGTGTACCAAACGGGGCCTTATATCAAATAAAGTTAAGTTTAAAATCGAATCGGGAGTGACGGGTTTCCCCATCCTTAATTGAAATTTGTTTCAAACCTTACCGTTTTATGAGGCGCCTAAAATTAGGGGTGCAAAGTGCAATCAATGTATCTTTTTCGTTCTGTAAAAAATTTCATTATTTTCTTTTTTGTCCGTCACCAAACAACATAGGAGTAACTGTTTTTTTTAAAGAAAAGAATTAGTGGTGTACAATTTTTCCTCTAAATATCTTCCAATCAGTGTTTTATTTTTTAATTTTGTTTTAAAAAAAATTTGCAGAAATAAAAAATGAAGTTTTTATGGGACATAGAAAGTACCCGGCATATAACATGGGAGAATTATTTATTTATGACTAAAACATGTGCTATATATAAAAATAAGACTTATAATGCCAAAGAATGTCAAAATATATATAATAAAAAAAAGTAGTGTGAAATGCTAGTATATACTTTATTTTAAATTTTTAATAAAATAATATTTAGAAAATAAAAAACATAGGCCTTATTTTAAAGTTTTAGTCGTATTTAGATAGACTTCTCTGTCTCCCTATTTTTATCCATTTAAAATCTTTCGCACGTCCTATTTTCGTCTCAAATCATATCTGACTATGGAGTATATTGGTATGCTTCACATTCGTATTTTGGGTGCAATTCTTTTTACATTGAGCACTAATTTTACCACTCCTAACCCCCAAAACTCCCACCCCAGCTCCCCTCTCCATTTCACCTTTTTGCTACACAATATTAAGAGAAAAAAATGTCAAATTTTGGTAGTAATATATACAGCTAATTTCACTAAATAAAAAAGAAAAAGCACATGTGATGAATCAACATTTTAGCAACCCTTGGTTCTTTTGAAGAAGCATTCTATTTATCACATCCAAAGTTGAGTTACAAAATGAGCCAATACATACAGAGCATTAAACGATGTGTGTGCCCATTCGGGTAGTCTGCGGTCAATGAATCACCCGTACAAACATTCCAATTTTTTTCCCCAACAAATCTAATGGGTCTTCTCTATCTATGAATTGAGAAGGAACCAATCAAAGGGGGGATGCTAAGTTGACACCACCTTCACACACATACCTAAGTTTGACACCACGCATTTCCCAAACCTGCACAGACAAAAATGTCTGTGCATGTCTGTAAAAACACATGGTGTCAAAATCTAATGTCATTATTTGGGTCACACATACAGACATGACAGGTCATGTGTTTCATAGAGACATGCATGCATGTCTGTGAAACACATGGCGTCAAATTCAAGCGTTACCCTTTCACGCATTGTGTATGCTGGTCTGTGAGTAGGGTGGTGTCACCTTTGGTGTCAGGATAGCATATTTCGTCGATCAAAAGAGGGCAGAGAAAAGAAGAAGAAGAAGAAACACAATTCTAACACAACAACAAATTACTACTACATGATATCTCCATTGACCGTGCTGCTCTTCGGCTTTGCAGAGCTACCTACCTAGAGGCTGGCCTGATCAGGGAGGGTTGGAAGTTTCCTAAAGACGTGCTTCCTGCAGCGCTCAAATATGCTTTCGTATATCACATCAAATTGAACTCCCGCTCTTTCGCGATTCACAATGAAAAGAATGTGATCCCCTTCCACTATCTTATAGTACCTGTATTTTATTAACGTGTGTCTGATCAGTACACAAACCATAATAATTGCATCGAATCAATATGTGCAAGGAGCGAATGGCGTATACTCCCTCCAATCCATATTAACGATCCATTATGACTTTCTTTGTACATTGAAAAATGGATGAATGTAGACATACTTTATGTCCACATTCATTCATTTTTCAATGTAGACAATTATTTTTCATACCAGATGCCTGGTTGCAATGGCTGGCAGTCAGAATCGGCAACATTATGACTTGGATGTTCAACGGGCAATCGTGGGTGAGTCATAGATATAGTGTTTAGTGCTCCGTCATTGTCCCACCAGTCCTCATCCCTGTGTACACAATGTAACAAGTAAAAGGAATGTCATAAACTATTTGCATCATTGATTTAAGCCCAGTCACATAACTAGATAGGAGCCGCAGAGGAGCTAAGTGTTTAAGAAAAATGTTTCTCCCAATTCACTTCATATATTGGCAAATGATTGACCATGAGTCCCAAAGTACTCTACTTCTCTATTACAAATATCATCAAAAGGAAATATAGAGGGAGCCTTGGAAAGAACTAGTACACATCCCACATAGCTTTCAAAATTTAGTAAGGCACAACTACTATAAATGATTAATTATAGCTATATTTTAAATAGATTTCTTCATTTAACTAAAACTAACATATTTAAATTGTTGGACACTTTTAATCATAAAAACAGTAAATATCATGAAAACTACTATGCCCATTCTTTTTTAACTAAACATTATGACTTTTGTCTTACATTAATAAGCTGAATGAATATGGACTTTTACAACGTCTATATCCATCCATTTTTTAAAATATCAAGAAAGTCATAATGGTCACTTAAAGTAGAACGGAGATAGTCGTTTTTTCAAAAATGGCTCTTTTTCGGGACAAAAACACGGGCTTTTATATGACAAACGCGCACCTGTAACCTTTGTAAGGTGGGGTGACATCAGCAGGATGTCGCCATATGCACATCTGCAGTACTCTGATAAACAGTAGAGGATGTATTCCAAGTAAGCCAGAAGGCACTGTAAACCCCATAAGTTTTTTTGTGCGCTGTGTGGCATAGCTGAAGTAGTATGTGTTGGGAAATGTGTGCAAGTGGCTGTTTAGTCTGATAGCACCCTGGATCGTAAGGTCTGGAAGTATCCAGTCCCCTGAAGCAAACGGGCCCGCATTTCCTAAAAGACAATCGACGAAACCCCAAATGCCACTTTCCTTCCAAGACATGTTGAAATGATCAAACCCAAAATTGTAGTAGGCTTTCAGCCATGGTATGTCAAACCAATCATAAATTATCACTCCAATGCGGCAAAGTTGGAGCAGCGAGATGTGTTTCAAAGATCTCCCATCTTCAGGCCTGTTCACAAATGAAGCTGTATGACAATATGTAAAATGGTTTTCACAAAACCACTTACGCGGTAAAATTTCACAAGCCAAACGGGTTTTAGAAACATAGTAGTTCTATCTTCAAAATGCTATTCAATATGTCAATGTGAAGTATAGTACTCCCTCCCTCCCCATTTAGATTGTGTGTTTCGGTTTACGATGTTTGACGGAACTTATATTCAAGACAATTTATTTGAGAATTGGGATAGAATTAACAAATAAAATTTACGTATCTAAAAACTATACCAAAAGTTCTATGAAACAAGAGGTAATATGACTATATTATTTTATTAAAAGACTAACGAAAATGAAAAAGTGAATGAAGTTTGAGCATGTGATAAACTTTGACCATTAATTAAATAAAATTAATAATAGATATTGATACAAGAATAATTTTATAAAATCTCTTGTAAAAAATTTTCAAAATATTATTTTATCTAATCAAAATACCATGTAATTTTTCTTTAATTCTAGGTCAAAGATTGATCCTCGTTGACTGCTAAAAGTCAAAACTATACAGGAGGGAGTATAAGCCATGTTACACAAAGCAAGACACATAGCAACAAGGTAACAATCAGATACTCACTGCATTCCATCATAATAAGTTCTTGTTGTGCCATTAAAAGCGCCAGATAATGATGTTATGCTTAGCACCCAATTCTCTGAAGTGTTTCCATGCCCCTTGAAGGCCTACGTGCGATTAAAATAACTCTTAGTCATAAGAATAACATGATGTTTTAAGGGCATCCTTGTAGGCCAAGAATTGATCCTATGGAGGCAAACCTTGTCAGCGAGCATTTGCTGCAGAACACGG